TGGTGCCTCTTGGGTCTGGGAGGTACCTGGGTTCCCCTCCATGGCCGATCACCAAGCCAGGGGAGGTGCAGGGGGAGAGGAGTCCCCTGCATGTTTGGCAGTGGATCCAGAAGTGGACTGGAAGTACTTTCAGTCCACTTCCGGGTCCATTGCCAAGCATGTGGGGGGCCCCTCCCACACTCCTGTGGGACACTCCATCTGCCCCACCATCTCAGTATTCATGGGCCATGCCTGGTACTTCAAGGCATATAGAAAAAACATATAAAGCTGTGTCTATGGCCAAATCACTGATTCTCCAAAATCAGAATAGAATCTTCAGATTCAGATTCGGCCAAATTGAATCAGGACAGTGATCCAAATCAGCAAATCAAATCACTGACCCCCGAATCGGGCTGAATACAAATCCAAATTCAAATCAAATACTGCCTGCTTCGCACACCCCTACGGTTTGATGAAAAGAGTATGGTAAAATCTCTACTCCAGTAATCGATACTATACTTCTAAAAACTGAAGATAGATCACTGCCCCGTGGCTCTTCCCCGCCACTGCCACCACCACCACTGCCACCTCCAGACCGCCCCAGACCTGCAGGGCTGTCACAGAGGGGAGGAGCTGCAAAGCAGCCCTGGCATGGGCTCTGGGCAGCCACAGCCAGAAAGGCCACAACCACAGCAAGCATGCCTGCCACCAGGTCCTGCTTCTTCCCGGTGCCCAGAACCAGCTGCTGTCACTCATTGTGGGTAGAAGGTGGGCAGAGCTGCCTCTCTCTGTCTTCCTCTCCCCGTTCTTTCCACCCCCACCCCCAACCCATCCCGCACCTACAGCGCATCCAAGCAGCTTATACCTGCTCCTGGCCTGCACACTGCAAGCAGTGCCAGGCAAGCGCCAGAATTAGCTGCAGATGCAGCCAGCAGGTTCCTGTTAGGGATTGGGGCATCTGCCCAAGCTCCCCCCCATGGGGTAGAAGGGTGACCCAGAGGCAGTACTGGTGGCAGCAGGGGCCCCAGCTGAGTTGTCCCCAATGAAGCTGCTGCCTATGTCCACCCCAGCTCCCCTCCACCCTGTGGCCCCATCCCATATAGGGAGATTTGGTGGGCTATTGGGAGTGGGAGGGGTGGTGGTGGTGCTGACCCACCCAGCCTGCAACAGCTTGCCAAAACTCCCTATATGACCCATGGGCCCAAATAATTCTCTACCCCTGGCTTAAATCCTGTGGCAGTCATTTGACTTGAACGTGAAAATGAAGCCTATGAACAAATACATCGGTAAAGGGACTTTGATGGCACTTCATCGAAGTCTCAGTATTTATATATACTGTGAGTCTGTTGCAGCAATGTAGGAAACCTACTTATTAAGGAAAACAGCTAAGTGCACGCTTACCATTAAGCAGGTGTTTAAGTCCCACTAAATTTGTGAATGAGGCTACCTTCCTTAAATCAGGACCCAAGTTACAAGAAATGCCATCCGATTATTTAAGAGTTAGACAAAATTCAGATTCATTTTTGTAATGTAGTGTGGGTATTCAGTTTGTCATAACATTATGGTGTTGAAGCAAAAATAAAGTCTCATTACTTTTTTCCCCCCTAATTGTTATAGAGCTTGATAGTAGCCCTAAATATAAAATCAAAGTGGCAGACTGGCGAGGCCATTTTAAATATTTAATTAAAGACAATGACCCAAATTCTCTCCAGATTTACACCCTAACCAGTCCTAGAGAAACATGGGAAATAACATGGGGAAAAACGCCTGTCACCTTAGAACCAAGCATGAGCATGGTGGGGGACCAGGCAGCTGCTGTTAATGCCCCAAGTTTTAGTTGTGTAGATGCTTTACATAGTTGATACCCCTGATTTGCATTCCTGTGCACCTTACTTGATTTGCTTAAGGGATGTGCAGCATATTCAGGTGGTTCTGGAAGGGCTGACCTTTCCACTTCTGTTCCAATTACCAAAACTAAGCAGGCACAGTGTGATTGGGATTTTGGAGGGATAGTGTGGAATGATTGACCTGTGGATGTTACCTATATACCTGATGTGACTGAGTGTCTGTGGATCTGTGTCTGTAGAGTGCAAAGTGTGAGTCTAATTTTTCATTCAGAGTGCTTTCGAGGCAGAGAGAATGCGAGTGAGTGTGGTTGCCCAGCAATGGAACAGCACAGCACCATCTGGCAGTGGGACTCAACTTCTGTTCCCAAAGGCTCACTACTGCGATTGCCTTGTGTCTTTACATTGTTATCTCTCTTTGTTCTCAATAATAACCAGTTTTGTTTAATAACCTTCTGTGCGTGTACAAATCATTTAATCCGCAAACCAAACTGGGCTTCTAAGTTTGCTCTGAAGAGCCCAAAACCCAAAAGCAAGTCAGCTTCGGCCAACAAGTACCCATAGGGTACATTTTATTCAGCCCCCACTTTTTCAAGAGAGGTTGCACTGCCTGCTGATTAAGGGCCTCACCCTAACTGAAAAGATTAATCAGCTGATTGAGACATGCCCCTCTCTGGTCAACATTGTGGCTCTGGCTTCAGCTCCCATCTGGGGTTGGGTCCTTAGCTGCTCTCTACAGCCACAGCAGCTGCCTGTTCCTGGTCCCGACTGCCACCCCTGCAGCCTCTGCTCCCTAATTTGCCCCCCTCCCTCCCTCACTTACCTTTACTCCACACCGGCAGGCTCTGTCGATGCGTCAGCCTGAGGCACTGAGAACGGCTCCAGCCCAGCCCCATAGCAGCCCACATGGCTGCAACAGGCTCTGGGCTGGGGCTGTGCTCCATGCCCCAGGCTAAAACAGGGACACAGCCTGCTGGTGCAGAGCAAGGGGAAGGAGGGGAAAGGGGTTTGGGACACTGGGAAGTGGAGGAGCAGAGGTTGAAGTGGGAGGGACAGGAAGGGGAACAGAAGCAGAGGGGGAAGGGGGAGCCCACGGCTGCAGGGTTGGGGGGCAGGCACAAGCAGGGGACAAGCTGCTTGACCCTCTGCACCCACACTGTCTGCCCCTTTGCAGCAGTGTGGGGCATGAATTAACGATGACCCTCCAATAATTAGATTCTGTACATGGAAAATTATAACAAATGTATAAATTTTCCATGTACGGGAGTTTGTCTTAGATTCAAGTAAATACAGTATCTCTCTTATGTCTGAATGTCTCTGCTGTTACTAGTGAAACGTGATTTTAACCAAATTTTGGAAGCACCATAAACGGTGCTGAAAGCAGGGACCTACAGGATCACAAATGCAGCAGGAGTCAGGTTATAACTCTAATGGTACAGACAGAAGTTACATTTGTGCTATCTTCAGATGGGGTGGTGGGGGGGGAGGCAGAGGGAGCTCATTACATGAGGGTTCAAATGAATGTTCTCCAAAGTGGAGCACCTTCATTAACTTCTGTCATCATGCACCACCTCTGTGTTGTCTTCAGAATGGGAGAGGGAGAAGGGAGGGGAGGGAGTTCGGTCTGGGGTTTGCCCAGCCTGCAGCAGGAGTGTGGGGTGAATGGATTGGAGCCTCCCCTACCCACCCCCCACCACAAGATGGGGGCCTTCAATCCACCCTGCCCCCTCCCCCCCTAGAACAGGCTGGTTCAACCCCAGACAGAACTCTCTCCCCTTTCTTCCCACCTCCCATTCTCAAGATGGCACCAGAGCTGGGAGGGTAGAGGGTGTGGGGTGGGGCTAGGGGAAAGCAGCTGCAGACAGTCACTCCAAACTGGAGCTCGATCCCTCAACCCGCAGACCCAACAGCAAATGTCCGTTGGGTCAGGGGTAATGCTGTAACTCATGGCACTTCATATCAAGCACCATGAGTTACAGCAAGGAGTTGCACCCTGAGAAGTACAGTGCGTTTCCAACCAAATTTGGGGGCGATACATTTACACACAGAGCGAATCTCTAGACTCAATTGACAGGTTGCAATCTGGCCTTATTATTTCATATTTGCATTCATTATAAGCTTGGCAGTTGTTGAGAGAATAGTCTAAATGAAATCCATTCCAGGGCTGACCACCCTTTGGTATGCATATAATCTTGAAGAAAGCCACATGCCTTTCCACAAAGAAGAAGGTATGTTCCACTGTAATCTACCCAGCACAGAATGCCAAAGAAAAAAAAATAGACTTAGATCATAACAACATCTTTGGAGAAGTCCTCCTGTGTGTGTGTGAACAGTGTCTAACAATTTGTGGGTACTAGTGGAATATAAATAATGATAAACATTGCTAAATTATAACTTTATGAAGCTATCTGCATTTTTTCCATTGAAGTTTTCTTTGAAGGAAGAAATTTTCTATCTTTTTATTTTTTTCAACAGAAATGAAATACTTGGGCAAATATGAAATGTAACCACTTTCACAACTGGCCACAATTTTATTTTCCTTTTTGGCAACAGAAATAGGTCGATTTCTATTCTGGAACAAGTCACGTTTTCAGAGATTAGCTATGTGATTTGCACAGAAAAGTGGCCATTTTTTGCCTACCCAACTTGTCTCCTCTGCTCTGCCCCACAGAATCTATTTTTCCATATGTATAAAAAAACAGCAAAAGATCTGAGGAGTTGTCTGTATTTAACAAAAGCATGATTTTTTTTTACCAGTTACCATAGCAGTACACATTTTTTCTATATAGCTCTAGTTAATATGTCATTTTCAACCTTTAAGATTATGGATTTTCTTTTTTCCTTCAGACAGATAAACCTGGTTTCTAGAGACCAATTTAATCTGTATAATGAAGTTCAATTTAAATGCACATTAAAATGAGGCCAGGTCACCAGAGGCCCAGTCCTGCAAAATCATATATGCACCCTTTACAGGGAAACTTGTTGGGATAAGGAGTCTTCACAAGAGTACGAATTTGAAAATTATACCAAGGTAAAGAGAAGAATGGAACCAGGACCATTCAAGTTGTCAGGTTTCTTTTAATACCTTTGACCTATTTGAAGAAACACCTAGATTAATTAAGATTCAATACTGTTGCTTCTGTTAGTTGCAAACTAACAATAATGCATGCTTCTTACCAAAAGATATGGTCTTTTGACACTCGTTCCTGTAGAAGGGTCCATTTTTTCCCCAAGTCAGTAGATACAAAAAGCTTTGAAGAAAAGAGGAGAGCAAACATTTTAGATAATAGGGAACTGCTAATGATGTACATTTTAAAAGGCAGTGGCTAGCCAAGGGATCTTTATTCAGCTGTATTAAAAAAACACCAAATATGACAAATCAAAATCAACTTGAAGAAATAGCTTCACCACTTTCCAGAGCCATAAGTATTTGCATGTTCCTGTAAAATATCTATGAAGAGTAAAACCCTTTACCAATGGGTTGTTGTATGTCATGCAAGCAATCCATGATTTTGGTAAGAAGGTTGCTGCTGATCTCAGTGAAGTTATGTAAGTGGGAGGACAGATGGAAAATGTCTTTTCTTCTCACACAAGGATGAGTCAGGCACATAGGCAGGGCTGGTGAACTCAGACTGGTGGGGCGGTGGAGCATCCCATGGGAGTGTGTGTGTGTGTGTGTGGGGGGGGGGGAGGTTGTAGCCCGCCAGCAGTGGGAGGGGGGCATGTTGCAGCCTCCCTGATACCAGCCGGGGTGCCTGGCTGGCTGCAAACCCCAACCCCCATGGGACGCTCCACCGCCCCACCAGTCTGAGTTCACCAGCTGTGCCTGAAGGCACAATTTCTACTCCTTGGTGTAGAAACAGAAGTCCAGCTCCCAGCTGTAACTCAGAATAATTTCTGCAAATCGTTCTGAGTTACAACATTACCCCAGACCAAATAGGAGTTCGCTGTTGGTTCCAGGGGGTAAGGGAATCTAGCGGAGGCTGCAGTCAGGTTCCCATAGCAATGGCCAGGGCTCTCTGGCAGTACGTGCTCGTTTCAGAATGGGGGGGGGGGGAAGAGGCAGCAGAGGGAGCTCATTCTTGGGGCTCCCCAGCTGGTTCTGAAGGGTGGGGTGGGTGAATTGGAGCCCCCCTCCCACCTCAGGGGACTCAAATAAACCCTCCCCACCCTCCAAGGGTTGCTGAAAAGACCCCAGTGAACTCCCTCAACTCCCTTTCCTCCCTCCCCCTTCTGAAAACAGCAACAGGCAGGGAGCTCTGCAGACGCAAGTTACAAAAGACACTGCATTTTGAAATATCTCTGATACCTCATGCAATGAGGGTCAGATTTTCATCCAATTGGCCATTTTTGAAGCTGTCTGCAGCTGTGCACTTGTGTTTGGTCACAACTATAAACCGCTTTCTGCAGCCAGATTGGGTAGAATTGTTACTTCTGTCTGCACTCCTTAAGCCCCAACTCAGCAAAGGCATTAAGCTCATGCTGTCCATTAGGCTTAGAAGAAAGTCTCAAGTTGATTCTATGGAACATAAAACATCTGCTACAAGTTAAGCACATGCAAAAAAGCTTTGTTGAACAGCCATAAACTTAAGTGCTCATTTAACTGGAACCCCACAAAGCTATCTACTCATACCCCACTGAGCAGTGGCTCAAACAGGTCAGGAAAAGATAAAAGATGGCAGAACAGGAATCTGTCCTTCTTCTAACACAGTCACAACTTTGTCTTCTTTTCCCACATTTTCTTCCAGTGTTCAGTTATGAATATGCTAACAATAGGCATTTGACAGAAAGATATACCTCAATAGTAGAGATATAATTCTTTGTTATATGGAATGGACATCAACAGTTTCCTTGTTTAATTTGAGTTTTCATACTTTCTTCTCCCTAATTATAAATATCAAAGTAATACTGATCACATCTTTAAGAAGCCAGATGTAAGGGTCTTTGATTTCTTTTTATGTATCTATCACTTTATTGACTTTGTATGTTGCATATTTTAGGTAAATATCCCAGGGACAATTATTCCCTTTCAATGTAGGGCCTAATTTACTTATTAAGGTACAGACTGTGTTGCAGTACAGTCTCCTGGGGAATAAGGAGAAACACTCTTGCTTGGAACTGGTGAGGCTCAAATTATACTGGCAAGTCCATTAAGTATGTATTACACTTTTGTTACAGACGAGCTGTGTTAATTACATCTTCAAAGATGAAGGATTATGCACCTTTTCCAACATGCTTGTGAAGGGTCAATTAAGTGCTGAAATCAGAAGTAAAATGAATAACAAAAACCATTTTCCAGATACTATTCTCCATGATCCATAATAATAGGGCTTTGTTCTTTAGAACCATGAATTAAAATGATCAGTATGAAAGAAAACATTCACCATATTAAGGATCTTTATAGTATTAAGGACCTTCATAGTATTAGATTTCATGGTATAAAATATAGTTTGTATTAGGCTACACACATCCAGGAAATGCATTGTGCAAGTAGTAATTATTCTGTTTACAGCTGTGGAGTAAGTATATCTGGTATACTGGTCTTTACCCAAAAGACAGGACTGGAGTAAGTTTATAGAACATCAGTTGGAAGGGTGCTAGCTGGTATGACTTGTTAAAGAAACATAAGAAATACAGAAAACGCTTAGCTGAACTTCCGTAGTCTATGTTAGCATCTGATGAAGTAGGTTGTTGACTATGAAAGCTCTTGCATCTCTGAAACATTTAGTCTCTGAGTTGCCATGATGCCCTGTCTTCTTCCATGTTTCATTTTTAATACATGACACAAAAGGTCAAATGTACAAAAGGTTACAAATGCAGAAAAACTGGTTATGTTCCATCAATGGAAAAAGAAAAATCCTCAGGGTTAGAAAACAGCTTTATTGTGAGTTTTTTTTATTCTTGTAATTATCAGCCTTGCACTATATAAACTATATAGGCTGGCCAAAGGACAACAAAGTGGACATAAAGGATTTAAAACTCCAAGAAGGAAAGGAATTATGTTTTGGGGGTTTTTTGATATGATACATTAATGCCATCTTAGAAGCCACTGGTGATGGATTAGCTGCAACATTATACACAATTATGTCAAGAAGGACAAACTCAAAATGGACATTGTGCAAAGAGGATATAGTAGGATGAACTGGAAAATGGAGAGTTGACTACAGACCTTAGCACAGAGTCCAGCACAACAAAGACTAAAAGTGGATATGATGATTCTCTGTAAATATACGAAGGGACTAAACACCAGAGAGGGAGAATAGCTTTAAAGTTTAAGGGCAACGTTGACATAAGAGTAAATGGGCATGAGCAGACTGAATAAATTTAGGATGCAAGTCAGGAAAAGTTAACTCAACCAACCATTAGATTCTCAAAAAGCCGTTCAGTGGGAGTAGTGGGCAAAAATTATAGCAGCTTCTATGATGGATCTTAATTGGTTTATGAAAAGAGTTTACATAATAGGGTGGTGACAATAGCAAGGAACTGGACTTTATGACACAGGAGGTCTCTTTCAGCTCTGGATCCATGCAACTAGAATAAGTTAGACACCAAGGCTATGCACAGACAATCAAAACCCTGAGTATGGATCGATTTAATTGTCACACGTTAGTCTAAGCTGTGTAGACTGAACTGATAAGTGAACAGACATTCACTTTAAATTCCAGAAATGCAGCCACATGCCTTCAATGGCCAGAAGCCAGGGGGCACTAGAGCATGCCTCCTGGCTCAGCTGGAGCAGACAACTTGAGCCAAGGCTAGCCTGCCCAGAGCCCCGGGGTAGCCGGCCCCCCCTGGGGGGGGGGGGGGGAGAGGGAGAAGGGGGTTACAGGGGAGGTACACAACATTCTGGGATGTGGAAGACTGTGAGTTTACCCGAATCTGAATGGGATCTCAGACAGAGGTTCAATAACCCTATTTAACCTAAATCAGTTAAGTCTGATACTACATCCATCCAAGTTTATTTTAAATGGGTTTTGGCCATTTTGAAAGCAGTTTATATGCACTGAATTTCTGTTGTGTTAGAGAACCAGCTGAACCAGTTTCCAATGACTTACGCTAGCTTATGTATAATTTCTTTTCCTAGCCCAAGTCATCAAGGTTTATCTGTGCATGTATTAGGCTGAATTCAGGAACTACTTATCCTTAAAGATTTATACATGCCTTGTGAAACAAGGTTTCAAGGGAGAAAGAACTCTGGCCCACAACATGTTTTGTATTTAATAACAAAAGAGTCGAACGTAAAGGTTACACAGCAAATCCAGTTATGTCATATTAATGAAAAAAGCAACATATTCACATTCAGCAAGCACTTTATTGTTTTATATTGTTAATTACCCACCTTGCACTAAATTAATGTAGTCACTTTCTAAAGAGCTACAAAATATAGGAGTTCAGGTTTTAGTTTTTTTTCCTATCCAATAGTTTCTAAAAAAAAAAAAACCCAATTAAAATCTCCTACAATACTTAAGTGTAAAAAAAATAAAGCATGAATATTGTCTCAGTGAACAACTGATTGATGCTCATTATTATTGTGGTAGCCAAAAAAAGAAAGAAAGTAAGTATAGATTTGAGCCAGTAAGCAGATTAATAGCCACATTGACTAGATTTGTATGAATTTACAATCTGTCAATTAGACATTAGAGTTTTATTTAAATAAAAGCCAGAGTTGTGAATGCATGAACAATGCAGATTTTGCTGTATAAAGTAAGAACCAAATCAAACCTGAAATTGTGAGCGCACCAAAATGTTCTAGCAGACTGAGAGTGTCATAAATAGCTATTTGTTAAAGGGCTCATGCCTACAAATGCTTGTAAAATCAAAAGTGCTGTTGCAAGTAATGACTTGAATATGTAGCTTCTTCTGAGCTTACCTAAATGTCTGTATTTCTTATGTCCACAAATTTAGCCTGAAAAAATGCACAAGAGATCTTATTTCTTTAGATTTCTGATACTTTTTTTTTTCAGTCAGGATGGAGATTATAATTTAAACTCTATGATACAAGCTACAATGTAAGCAACTACTAAATTTGAGGACACAAACAGCTGATTTCACAGGCAGATTGTGGGGCCGGCCAGCATTTTCACTGGCTTATTGTGGCAGGCCCTCCCCCCCCATTCCCTTGATTGGCTGAGGGGTCCTGGTGGCTACGCCCCTCACTGCTGATTGGTTGAGAGGGCTGTCTGTCATGCAGCCCCACTGCTTGCTACTCTGTCTGTCAGCTGAGCCACAGTGGCTATGAGGACCACTGGATCCCACTGGGGAGCCAGTTTTTGGGGTGTTTTAATAAATTACTTTTCTGCAGATTTTGCAGACATTGCCCAATTTTGCAATTGCTGCAAAATCGTGTATTGAGTAGATTCCTAGCTATATGATCTCCCTACACCAACACAAGACTTCTGCTTCTTCCCAAAGCCACTGATTTCAGTTTGTTTCCTTTTGTATGCTGATTCTGTGTGATGACTTCCATCTCATTGCCTGTCCTTACACAAAATGTATATGGACAAATCTCCTATTCTAGTCAACTACAGCTTTTCCTCAGTCTAATCTTGTGTAAAGATTGTCTATTTACATCTCTTTGGTCGACTGCTTTAATTACAAAACTAAGAGAGAGCAAAAATCAATTAGCTCACCTAATCAATGTCAGGAAATTGTTCCTAATATTCGATTGAAAATCTTCCTTCCATAGAACAAAATTCAGCCATGCATGTTTAATATTACACATTTGTTTTAAATGTTGTTGAAATAAGTAACAATTATGCAGTTCCTACCCAACAAAACCTGCTTTCAACAGAAACTGGAGTGGGCTGTTAGGAAGCTTTTTAATAGAAAAAAGGGAGAAGAAGTAGAAATAAGGGTTTTTTTCAGTTTATTTGCTGATAAAAGTAAAAAAATAAGAGGAAAGAGTTGACGGTAGTGCCCCTCACACAGAGGTATAAAAGGGAAGCTCTGTGCTTTGGGTGGCAGCAGTGGAGCAGTACCAACTGTTGGAAAGTGATAGTTATTTTGGTGCCCCCATCCCACCACAGGTGACCCCTGGGGGTCTGGGATTGGTACCCCCTCCCTCCCCACCAGCTACGCTATTGACTCTCACACAGACTCACTCATCCAGTCAGTAAGATGGCCACCTAGGGCAGGGGTTTTCAACCTTTTTTGATCAGTGTACTTCCAGTGGCTGGACATGGAGCAGTGTACCCCCGGCGATCAGACACTGAGTTGGGGGGGGGTAGGGGGGAGTGGCACACAGCTGCATGTGGAGCGGCAGTAGCCATTGCGTGTGAGCTTCCCCCGCCCCCCGAGTTCAGCCATGCACCTGCATGGCAGCATGGGAGGTGCCACCTGCCCACCCATGCGTTCCCCCTAGGGCCTTCTCAAGTATCTCTGACCTAGGCCATGAGATATGACAGGTCAAATCTTTTTGTTTGCTGATTCAGAGCAGGAATCTGAATTCAGGAACAACTTAGACATGAGAGACTGAAAAAGGCACATAGCAAATAACAAGGATACTGGCCCAGATGCCTGACTATCCAGGCCAGTACACTGTCTCTGAGACAGTCCAGCTCCACATACTTCAGAGGAACAGAAGCTTTCTTCTCAATGCTATTCATTATTTTATATACTATTATCAAACCTCTCCATATTGATTTGCTTTCTAAGGTAAGCAATCCTACTGTTGTCACTCTCTCTTTAAATATTTGAGTTTCCCATGACCCCACCCTTCTTGTCCATCTTATCTGAACTTCTTTTAACTCTTCAACAGTCTTTTTTAAGATGAGGTGACAAGTATTATTTCACAGTATTCCAGATAAGGGTTTATCATTAATTTAAATAATGCCACTATACTTTCTCTATATTATTTGCCATCTATTTTTTTACTGAGCTGATATCCTTAATTCACAACCCAGTAAGGCACACAAGAAGTTAATTTTTTCCCAGTTAAGCATGAATGACTTTCTAGTTAAGAACAGTAAATTCCATCTGCCATTGCATCACCTGTTCACTTAGCTTAGTTCCACTCAGAACTGGATTCACTCTCAGAGGACTAACTGGTCCACTCTCTCTAGCAGATTCCATGGGAATCAAAAGTCAAACTGCAACTAAGCCACAGCTTTTGTGCAATATTTTGATCATATACATTTTCTTGTTGCTGTGCAAATTTCAAAATGTTAATAGTGTACTCAGGACCTAAAAATAAAATGATTTTTTTAAAAAAATACTATGAAACTTGCTAGCATGACAGATGAGACTGAAATCTCACATATCTATCATGTTTTCTGAATCCGGTCTTGTTTGCAAAAGCCTGGAGAACATGAAGCACTGGTGATAAGATGAACACATTTTTAGAATCATGTTCTGAAGGGCAGCTCAATGAAACTTCAGTGATATCTGTATTTTGCTGCTGAATGAGTTCCACTCAAGCAATATAAACCTGCCAAGCATTCTGAGAAAGCTTAACATGGCTTGACTCTGAGTTCTCTTAACATTACCTAAAACAGGAGCAACAATGGAAGTATGTCAGTGTAAAACTGGGCCTAGTAACATCAGAATCAGAACCACAGCCTATGATTTTATAGCCTGAGCTCTGGCACTGTAAAAATATTTCAATTACATTTTTACTGGATAATGTGCTTACCAACAAGTTTATAACACATCCAAAAGTGTCATAAACCTTTATAATTTAAGAATACATAATATCTAAATGCCATTCAAAGTCTACAAACAATTTGACATGGCTTCTCAAACGGTATGTTCAAGAATGGGGAAGGATTATTCTACATTTTTTACATATAAATTGCTTCCCTGAACCTCTATTCTGCTAACAACTAAATAAAAGTTTAATTTAATTTATTTTACAATCCAAGAAAGGCTCCTGAGATAGTATTTCAGCTCCATTAACTTTCTACTTACCTATAAATTAAAGAGCAATTGCTTATAGCTAATTTCTAAAGGAAAATAAGTTTTCAGGGTCGTACTTAACTATAATTATGCAGGATGATGAGTTATATTACTAGCATCAACAAGATGCACAAGAAATAAAACCATTATAAAACAATAATGGCTTTTGGAGATGGATATACCGTATTTACTCAAATACAAGACAAGGTTTTTAACCCCAGTCAGCATGAGGGGGAAAAGTTCCTTGTCCTACATTTGGGCAAACACACTGATGGTGTGTGTCTGTGCCCGTCTGTCCCTTAAATGGGTAGGTACTCCTGCCACAGGGAACTGGCAAACCTCCAATAATTAGATCCTATACCTGGAAAATTACAGCAAATGTATACATTTTTCCATATGTAGAATCTAGTTAATTGGGGGTCATCTTATATTTGAGTAAATACTGTAATTAACTGAAACAAAGAAAGATGCATCTCAATAATTTGGTGTTGCCCACTCTTAGGCAAGTCATGTCATATAAATTCTAATCAGCAGATCCTGACAGTTTCATTGAGCTTATATCTCATACAAGTCAACAACATGGTTATTATGAGATTTACCTTGCCGTCCTTGGTATAAGCAAGCACCTTGTCTTCTTCTTTTGGGTGAAAAAGGAGGGTTTCCACAAAGAAAGTAATAGGCTGTTTTTGAAATGTGGCTCCTTCATCCATGCTTATGAATAGGCTTTGGTCCCGGTCATTATGCGATGAACTTACAAGGATGATCTGTAACATAAAAAGAGTAATAAGGTATAAAAACCTGGCTTTTACATAAAGTATTTTTGTCAGCAAAACCTGATAAGGTAACATATCATTTCTATTGCATAAATGTAGACTTGAATTGCATAAATGCAGGTATAAATTAAGTTTCCAAATCAAACCAAGTTAAGCCCTTAGTCCAAAATGTCTAATACAAATATTAAGTTATATCTTGTCATATTTATGTTACTACTTTTGTCCTTGTCCTGGGATTCATAACATCACATGAAGAAGCTCAAAAGTAATGTGGGAGGATTAATATTATGACATTTTGTTTAAATTGATCATTAAAATAAGTAACCCTTTTAAATAAGGTTTTATTTATATACAGCATTTGTTTAATCACTGCTATACTAAAGCTGCTATTAATAGTCATATAGGGATGGAATTTGTCTCTAATATCCTTATATGGCTGAACCATGCTTTTCTCTGCTGACATACTGTGAATCAGATAGCAAGTTCCCTTTGATGATCTGCAAAATTAAATGCCAGGCAATCATCTGCATTTCCTTTTCATTTCAGGGAATTATATTGACCTAAACATAAAGAAGTTGCAGCTGCTGCTTGTTTCCTTGTGCAGACTTCATGTCAAGCTTTCAACAACAAAGAAATATTCTCCTTTTAGTATTAATAAGAGCCAAACTCCTTTTAGCTTCTTCACCAACAAAGCCTGCCAGAGCCTTATAGTGCAGTTTGTAAAGTGGTATTGTGCAGTTCTGTTTTTATTGTCTCTCCAGATCAAACAGACTCAATTTGCGAGCAAAAAGATGCTTTCACCAACTGCTTTCCCTGTAATCGTAACATGGAATTGTGAAGTCCAGCTGGGTTCTTTCTGGCTCCTGCTTAGACTGTAATAAAGATTCTGCAATCAAAACACAGTTAAAATATTCAGCTGATGATGCACAAGCCACTGTAGAACCCTGATCGTTTTCCCCAAACGTGGTGGCTCTGCAGTACTAGCAGGAGTAAATGGCAGTCAGTAATGTAAACAGTAATTACAAAGAATGCACACATAGGAAGCAAGCCTATTCAGCAAGATGGTTCTATTTTTATTTAGTTGCTTTTAGGAATAGAATTGTAACTTAAAAAAACTCAGCTCCCTGGAAAACTTGAAGAGAGATGAGAAGTGGGTTGAAATTGGGTTGTATTGGTTTCCTAGGAAAACAATATGTTTCATAGTTGTTAGGGTCAGAAGGGACCTCAACAGATCATCGAGTCCGACCCTCTGCCATGGGCAAGAAAGAGCGGTGGGTTCAGACGACCTCAACCAGGCGCTTGTCCAGTCTTCTCTTAAAGACCCCCAAGGAAGGGGAGAGCACCACCTTCCTGATGTCCAACCTCAATCTGCTCTCCGTCAGTTTGTGACCATCGTTCTTAGATACTCCAAGGTGTGCCCTGGCAAACAGAGCATCTCCTATTTCTTGCTCCCCCCACGATGAATTTGTAGGAGGCCACAAGATCCCCTCTCAGCCTTCTCTTGAGGATGCTGAAGAGATCCAGGTCCCTGAGTCTCTCCTCGTAGGGCCTTGTCTGTAGGGCTCTACCCACATGGAGTGGCCTCCTCTGGACCCTCTCCATGTTGTCCACATCCCTCTTGAAGTGCAGCGCCCAAAACTAGGTGCAGTACTCCAACTGCAGTCTGACCAGTGTTGCATGGAGGGGGAGGATCACCTCCTTGGATCTATTCATCGTGCATCTGCTAATGCATGATAAAGTGCAGTTAGCTTTACTGATCACTTCGTCACATTGACGATTCACGTTCATCTCGGAGTCAACTATGACTCCGAGATCCCTTTCTGCCGCTGTGCTGCTGAGGTCAGCCCCTAGCCTATAGGCGTGTTGGTGATTCCTTCTCCCTAGATGCAGCACTTTGCACTTCTCTTTGTTGAACTGCATCCTATTCTTTTCTGCCCACTTTTCCAACCTGGCCATGTCCTCCTGGATTCGATCCCTTCCCACTAGTGTATTTACTTTACCCCATAATTTCACCATCATCATTATGCCCATGCAATCATCCAAGTAAATAAGACACATGCATAAGTTCTGATGCATTATGGTATTTAAGTACATGCTTAGATTTAAGCATGCACACAGTCCCATAGTTTTCTGCAGAGGCTTCCTATACTTAAAATGAAGTACACGTTTAAATGCTATGCTGAACAAAGACAGATTTTTTTCATGTGCATAAAGCACTCTGCTGAATCAGGGTTCATCCTATACACACTGCTAGAGACCACATACTTAAACTTTCCCTCTGAATTGTACCAACATGTTTCAGCAGCAGTATGAAGCCAAAGCCTGTTTATATTATTTAAGGAACTAGTCCGTAGAACCTTGCAGAATTTACAGATATTCAAATATTCAGTTTTTAAAATTGTTTTGACCAGAGTGTAAATTGTGCAGTTTTTATGGTAATGTCTGTATGAATGCCATCTTTACAAATTTCTTCTGTTATTCGTGTCTCATCTCCACAACTTCCTTACCCCTGAAATTTTCAATAAGCTCTGTAAGGACACAACATTAAAATAAAATATATCTGATTTTAAAAAAGTGGTGTCAGCCAGAGTATAATCCATGGTCTCAAATACTGCCTGTGAAACTTTAGGGACTTTTTAAAGTCCCTAAAGCATGTAAGAGCTCTCACTTTCCCTCCATGCTCAAAGGCACATTCCCTCCTCTCCTCCCACACTTCCACACCTGCTACTGCTTCTTTCCCCGCTGTCCCAGTGGCAGGGAAGCTTCAAAGTCATTCCTGTCTTCCAGACAGGCTGCGTGGGGGCTGCGCTTAGCAGAGAATATTGGCAGCAATTGCAATGGGCATGGTAGTGGGTTTCATCCCCCTGCCCAGTACCTGCTGGGTGCAGGGACAGGGGATTGGGTGCATCCCTGCCCATCACCGCTGCTGTTCCCAGCTGAGCCCAGCCTCCATGCAGCCTGCCCGGAGCAGACAGGAGTGACTTTGATGCTTCCCCAACCCCTGGGACCGTGGAGAAAGTATCAGCAGCAGGCAAGGAAGGGGAGGGAGAGGAAAGGACATGGCTTTGAGGACAAAGGGGAAGGTGGGGATTCTTACATGCTTTGGGACTTAAAAAAGTCCCCAGAGGCTCCCCAACTATGGTGTGCACTCTGTGGGTGAGTGGGAGGGAGGAGGAAAAGGAGACTGGGAGCAGGGGCTGCAGCCACCCTTGCAGCATGGGTAGCTGCTCCCATACTTGCCTTTATCAAATCCTAACTCCACCCCAGTGAAGCTTCTATGACACAGAGGTCACTTGATGATGCAGAAGAGAGTGAGTGAATGATGACAATAATATTCTTGTCCAGCAAAGTTTTTAGTCAGTTGAAGCACTGGCAATCCCCAAAAATGGAATTTCAGAAATTCCCAGGTCTAAAATACGAGATTATGAGATTAGCTTTAAAATAAGAGTTTTAAATAACAAGTGGGAATCTTGTTTTATTTCCTCATCTTTTGAGCAATTAGGGTTTATCCTCAGCAATATTGCCTTTCAGATGCTTGATTTGATCAGTATTCACCCCCTACCACCACACACACACACACACACACACACACATGCACACTATTAGCACATTGGTTTCTCTGACACGCTACTTTGCTTGTACATTATTTATTAAGAATATTCCAGAGTCAATATTCTCCTTGCACTAGACATTTTCTATAACAACTGTTAAGAGTTTGGTGTTTTTAAAATAGAAAAGAGAACAAACCTCCTAAACAAGGGAGTCTGTGATTGCTACGTGAGTAGAACTGGGACATATATTAAGAAGAGCTAAGTCAAACAGTGATTGCTGACTGTTTTAACTTGGAATGAAAAACTATTCATTTGAATAGTGTTGGCCCAAGAAACCAGACGATATTGCAATCACTTCTATACTTCAATTAAGCATCTTGGAAAGAACATGTTTTTATATAACTTTTTCACACCCTTCAGAATCCTCCACTATTTTTCACCAATGCTATAAAATTATTTTACTTAATTTTTCTTCCTAACCTTCCTTCAAATAAATAAGCAACAAAGACATTTAGACATGTATATGTCCCTGACTGCACATGTATAACTCATATTAGCATTAATTGGAGCTGTATGAGTGTTTCAAGGAGAGAGTAGTTCCCTTATATTGCCAGGCAAATGGATAAGAACATGATAAGGCATTAATTTACATCCCTGGCTTGGAGTACAGCAAAAAGGAGCTCTAATGTAAATGAAAAATAATGTACTGCTTGCATGCATAGTAAAATATGTTGACTGAAAGGTGTAGATTCCAGTGTTTTATTTGCTTTCTGAGAGATGACTGAGAAAATGAGAAGAAATACAGAAAAGAAATTCACTTGATTGCAGGCTGACTGCTGGCATATAGTAGAACCATCATTACATCCAAATAGACTGCATCTGTTATAATGGACTGGTCGATGTGTATGCAGAACTCTGCTCTCTACTCCAGTGAAATCAGAATTGATCAGCTTTGTCTGTTGTAAGCTCTGACAACCAAGGGAAATTCTCCTTCAATTCAGACTGTGGAGGCTCATGCTTTAAAAGCAGGAGATTCTGAATTCTCTCCTCTACCACCATGATGCTTTTGGTAGCTAATTGCAGCATATGGAGAACAGGGAAATCTATTTCTAGGTAGCACAAGATTTGCTATACGACTTAAAAACACAGACTAGGAATCTCCCTGATGGGCTGTGGAGCACTTCAGCCTCTCTTTTCCTCCACTCAGGGAAGCCAGTGTCCCCCACAGAAAAATCTATTCAACAGTCTCTCAAAAATCTGTTGAGGCCTGGAAGACAACAGGTTCTTCTCCCAAGTGAATTCATATAGCATACACTGGGACACAGAAATCTGTCATGAAGTAGTAAAGCATTTTTGTGAGCTCCACTTTTGACCTTAAAGATCATATTTAATACTGGAAACATTTTCTTGAGCTAATAAAGTTATATATGCTGGAACATT